GCTGATGGTCGGCTGATGGCCGCGGTGGTGTCGTCCGCGAACTTGATCAGCTTCACGGAGTCGTGGCTGGAGGTGCAGTGGTTCGTGTACAGGGAGAAGAGCAGGGGAGAAAGAACACAGCCCTGTGGGGCTCCTGTATTTATAATCTGAGAGTCCGAGACATTCTTCCCCAGACGCACTCGCTGCTTCCTGTCCGTCAGGAAGTCAGTGATCCACCTGCAGGTGGAATCGGGCACGTTGAGCTGGGGGAGCTTGTCCTGGAGCAGGGATGGCAGGATTGTGTTGAAGGCAGAGCTGAAGTCCACGAACAGGACCCTGGCGTAGGTCCCCGGGGAGTCCAGGTGCTGTAGGATGTGGTGGAGGGCCAGGTTAATGGCGTCGTCTACAGATCTGTTGGCTCTGTAGGCGAACTGTAGGGGGTCCAGGAGGGGGGAGGTGAAGGACTTGAGATGGGAGAGGACCAGGCGTTCAAATGACTTCATGACGACAGACGTAAGTGCTCATTGAGTCCTGTGATCCTGGGCTTCTTCGGGACGGGGACAATGATGGAGGATTTGAAGCAGGCTGGGACATGGCAGGACTGCAGAGAGGTGTTGAAAATGTCAGTGAACACAGGAGTTAGCTCACTGGCGCAGTGTCTCAGAGTGGCCGGAGACACGTGGTCCGGGCAAGGAGCTTTGCGGGGGTGCAGCCTCAAGAAGAGTTGTTTAATATCTTTAGAGGCTATTCTCAGGCTGGGGGCAGGACTGATGGGTGGGTCGTTAGAGTGGTGGGGGGTGGGGGAGGTGTCAGGGGCAGCATCAAAGCGCCTGAAAAAAAAGTTCAGTTCGTCAGCTAGCTTGTGGTCGTCAGCACAGGGGGGGGGGGGGGGGGGGGGGGCTTGTAGTTGGTGATCTCCCGTAGGCCCCTCCAGACAGAAGCAGCATCATTGTTACCCAACTGCTCCTGTAGTCGTTCTCTGTGCCGGGACTTGGCTGCTTTCAGTTCGTCCCTGAACTGATATTTAGCTGCTTTGTAGCCGCTGCGGTCCCCCTCCCTGAAAGCAGACTCCTTTGCTTTCCTGAGCTGCCGGAGTTTAGCAGTGAACCAGGGTTTGTCGTTGTTATAGATGACCGTGGTCCTTGTTGGAATGATGCTATCCTCGCAGAAGTGAATGTATGACGTCACAGTGTCCGTGTATTCATCCAAACTATCTGTGGCAGCTCTGAAAAGGTCCCAGTCTGTAGATTCCATGCATGCGTGCAGCTCTTCCACAGCTTCATCAGACCACACTTTGGAGCTCCTCACTGCAGGTTTCGAGAGCTTTAGTCTCTGTCTGTAAGCAGGAACCAGATGTATCATGGAGTGATCTGAGAAGCTGGGGGCTGCTTTGGGAACAGCGCAGAAAGCACCGCGCACAGTGGTGTAACAGTGATCCAGAGTGTTCTCCTCTCTGGTCGGGCATTTGATAAACTGTCCGTATTTGGGTAATTCCTGGCTCAAGTTTCCCTTGTTAAAATCCCCCAGGATAATAATCAGAGAGTCCGGGTATAAACGCTCCATACACAGTACTTGCTCTGCGAGTGCACGCTGAGCCTCGCGCGCGTCCGCTCATGGCGCTATGTAAACAGAGGCAAGAATGAATGAAACAAACTCGCGAGGGGAGTAAAATGGTTTACAGTGAATGAAAAGATATTCCAGAGCAGGAGAACAGTACTTGGAGATCACTGTCACATCGTTACACCAGTTTGTATTGACGTAGAAACACAGCCCTCCGCCTCTGCTCTTCCCTGAGAGCGCACAATGGCGATCCGCGCGGAACAGCCCAAAGCCCTGCAGCTCCAGAGCACTGTCCCGGATCCGCTCATTTAGCCAGGTCTCAGTGAAGCAGAGGACACAGGATGTGGCGAAGTCCTTGTTTCTTCTCATGAGCAGGCCGAGTTCGTCCATCTTATTGCCCAGTGAGCGTACATTGGAGAGAAAAATGCCGGGAAGAGCCGTGCGCGCTCCTCTTCGCCTCAGACGCACGAGCAGGCCTCCGCGCTTTCCCCTTTTACGGGCCCACACTTTTTTGGCTAGAACATGAAACTAAATCAGCCACAGATGCCAAGAAAACAGGCAATAGGTCCATGGGAACGGTGGGTCGGATGTTCATAAGTTCCTCACGGGTGTAGGAACAGCCAGATGCACAATTAAAAAGTAAAAACAAAAGCAAAAGAGAGCAGCAAAGAGCCGTGTCGACCGTACGAGGCGCCATCTTGGTGAATGAAAAAAATAAAAATAAAATACTGCAATACTGATAAACAGAATTTCATATATTTTAGATTAATTACACACAACTGAAGTAGTTCAAGCCTTTTATTGTTTTAATGTTGATTTTGGCAAAAAAGTATAGAAAAACCAAAAATCCCTATCTAAAAGAATTAGCATATTTCATCCGACCATTAAAAGAAAAGTGTTTTAATACAAAAAATGTCAACCTTCAAATAATGATACTTGATCAGGAATCCTTTTGTAGAAATGAATGCTTGAATACGGCGTGGCATGGAGGCAATCAGCCTGTGGCATTGCTGAGGTGTTATGGGGCCCCAGGATGCTTTGATAGTGGCCTTAAGTTTATCCACAGTGTTGGGTCTGGTGACTCTCAACTTCCTCTTCACAATATCTCACAGATTCTCTATGGGGTTCAGGTCAGTAGAGTTGGCAGGCCAATTGAATACAGTAATCCCACGGTCAGTAAACCATTTACCAGTGGTTTTGGCACTGTGAGCAGGTGCCAGGTCGTGCTGAAAAAGGAAATCTTCATCTCCATAAAGCTTGTCAGCAGATGGAAGCATGAAGTGCTCCAAAATCTCCTGATAGCCAGCTGCACTGACCCTTAATAAAACACAGTGGACCACCACCACCAGCTGACATGACACCCCAGACCATCCCTGACTGAGGGTACTTGACACTGGACTTCAAGCATTTTGGCATTTCCTTCTCCCCAGTCTTCCCCCACACTCTGGCACCTTGATTTCATCCGAATAAAGTACTTTGGACCATTGAGCAACAGTCCAGTGCTGCTTCTCTGGAGCCAAGGTCAGGCGCTTCTGCCATTGTTTTCTGGTTGTGGTTTCTGTAGCCCATTTCCTGCGCACGCCTGTGCACGATGGCTGTGGATGTTTCTGCTCAGTCCAGTCCACTGCTTCCGCAAGTCCTCAAGCAAAGGTCTGAAATCTGCCCTTCTTCACCATCCTCCGCAAGGTCCGGTCACCTCTTGGGGTTGTACAGCGTTTTCTGCCACACTTTTTCCTTTTTGCCACAGACTTCCCACTGAGGTGCCTTGATACAGCACTCTGGGAACAGCCTTTTACTTGAGGGTGTCAATGATTGCCTTCTGGACAGCAGTCAGGCAGTCTTACCCATGATTGCAGTTTTGAGAAAAGAACCAGGCGGGAGTTTTTAAAAGCCTCAGGAATCTTCTGCAAGTGTTTAGAGTTAATTTGTTGGTTCAGATGATTAGGTTAATGGCTCGTTTAGAGTACCTTTTCATGATATGCTAATTTTCTGACATAGGGATTTTGGGTTTTTTGCCAAATTCATCAATATTAAAACAATAAAGGCTTGAACTACCTTAGTTGTGTGTAATGAATCTAAAATATATGAAAGTCTAATGTTTCAGTACATTACAGAAAATAATGAACTTTATCACAATATGCTATTTTTTTTTTAGAAGGACGTGAGGTTTCGATTACCCATCACTTGTTTCCAGTTTTCAGAGAGAGTTCCACGCTACAGCTCGAGTTCAGCTGGTGGCTTTAGTCCTGCCATTGTTGCCTCCTTGAAATCAGGTCCTTTGATTGACACCATGTTTTGTTATTTCTATTATTTATGAATCGAGGCACAACCATGGATCTATGGGCACAACGTGTCGGGTGTAGCCATCTTGGTTTGTTGTAAAACAGTGCCCTCTAGTGATCAACACAATACACAGCATATCTTGACAGTCTGGAGGTAGAATCACACCCAGCTCAGGAAAGCCAAGCTGCCTGCACAGATGTTGGTGCAGTTCTACACGGCCATCATCGAATTCATCCTCACCTCCTCCATCACCGTGTGGTTCGCTGGAGCCACAGTCAGGGACAAACAGAGACTACAGCGCATTGAGCGCTCTGCAGAGGAAGTGATCGGCCGCAGCCTCCCATCGCTGCAGGACCTTTCCAATCACTCCCCTCAGGAAGGAGACTATGGACCATCAGGACCAGAACCTCCTGCCATAAGAACGGTTTCTTCCCCTCTGCTGTTGGACTCATGAACACTTCAAAAACCATCACACTGTTAGTGCCCAGAGTCAGAACTAAACATGGGGAGGCTGCTTTTCAGATTTATGCCGCAAAAATCTGGAACAATCTTCCTGAAGATGTGAGACAGGCCTCCTCTCTGACAATGTTTAAAACCAGGTTGAAAACAATCCTGTTTAGCCGTGCATACAACTGAGGGATTGTATATTTTATATTTTTATCTTTCTTTTTAATGTACTGTGATTATTTATGATTTTAATGCTATTTTGTTTTGTTCAGCACTTTGAATTGCCTTGTGTATGAATTGTGCTAGACAAATAAACTTGCCTTGCCACTGACCTCTGCCCTTATGACCGTCACTTTACTGCACTCTACCGCACTCATTATGTGCACCTTGCGCACTTGTATATAGTAAACTGAAGAAATCTATTTAGTTTTTTTTATGCATGTCTTTGATTATTCTGCTTTAACTTGTTTGCACCAAGAGCCAAGGCAATTTTTCTACCTTGCGACTTAAATAGAAGGATTCCGATCCTAATCTAGATGTTGTGGTCATTACTCATTATCAGTTCATAATAATATTTCTATCTCTGTAGGGAGTTTTATCCCTGGTTCAGTCCTGGTTCAGTCCTGGATCAGTCGTGGTCCTGGATTGTGAATGAGAGAAAACATATGTTTCAGACTTTAGAATCCTCAGATTTTATTGTGTTTAACATTGGGTTCAGGAACTGCAGAACATCATAAACTGTGGATGAAGAAGTGAGAGCAGCGGAGGGCTCCGGGGCAGCGACATACCTGCCCAGACTTAGACCTGGACCCAGGCCTGGACCCCGGCCTGGACCCCGGCCTTGACCCCTTCCTGGACCCAGAGTTGTCCCGATCCACAGGAGGCCAGCAGAACTTTTCCAGTGTACACTGAAGAAGACACCAGAGATGGGTTCGATCTCAGTCCTGGTCTCAGTCCTGGTCTCAGTCCTGGTCTCAGTCCTGGTCTCAGTCCTGGTCTCAGTCCTGGTCTCAGTCCTGGTCTCAGTCCTGGTACCATGATGGTGACCCTTCGTCTCTTTAGGCGGCGGCAGAGTCCTGGCAGTCGATGATACTGCAGCAGGCCGGGCGGGGGCGCTATGCCGTTCATCTGGAACAACAACATATGGTGTGAGTCTAACTGCCTTAGAGTAGTTGTGACCAAAACAACTGTCTTGGTCCCTAATCTTCTGAAGGAACATTTAGGGCAATACAAATGTAAATTAAATTGATAAACAGAATATTGAATCTCTACAGATCCATGATGGTATCCATGTTACACGCACACACCCACGGACAGTCAGACACACACACAGTTACCTGCCCAGATGAGGGGGCGGAGCTGGTCTCAGGTCGGGACTCGCATGGACGAAGCACAGACCAGACCAGAGACCAAAGCAGAGTCCAGATCAGGTCCATGTCCGGCCTCGAGAATCCAGGTACGTACTCCAAGATAATCCTCTTACAGACAGTCACATGAGGACTAGGTCTGTCGCCACGAGGCCTGAGGCAGCCAGCTTGTCTCTCCTGCAAAACCTTTCTGTGTGAATCTGGTATGCATGTGTCTGGTCCAGTCTGGTCCCACATGGGTCTGGTCCCACATGGGTCTGGTCCCACATGGGTCTGGTCCCACATGGGTCAGGTCCCACATGGGTCAGGTCCCACATGGGTCTGGTCCCACATGGGTCTGGTCCCACATGGGTCTGGTCCCACATGGGTCTGGTCCCACATGGATCTGGTCCCACATGGATCTGGTCCCACATGGATCTGGTCTTGGATATCAGATAAAATTTGTTTTTGTTTTTTTCAGATACAGTTCTTTAATTTTCTGTAAGACTCACACAGTACAGCATCAGTCCATATGTATAAGGAACCCCCTGAAAACCAGGAAGGATCCCCTCGAGGGTTTGGACTTTTGTCTGCCATTTAAGAGAATAAGAGAAACAAGAGAAAATCACATTATAATGGACAAGTTTCTCATTCACGTGGAGCGACACAGACACATTCCAATGCAGTTTTCACAAGGTCAACTTTATAAAGGAAAGAGCAGCGCGTGCAACAGCCCAAACTCTTGACAGTTGAGAGCTTCACTAACCCAAACACAGCTCCACAGCTCGTTACGCTGTCATTATGCACAGCATTGTCACTCATGTGAGACTGGGTCGTAAGCACACACATCGGTAGTCTGTCAGGTCTGTTTGGGGACTGGGCTCTGGACCGGGCTCTGGTCCGGGCTCTGGTCCGGGCTCTGGTCCGGGCTCTGGTCCGGGCTCTGGTCCGGGCTCTGGTCCGGGCTCTGGTTCGAGCTCTGGTCCGGGCTCTGGTCCTGTATAATGCCATGTATCTTGCGCAAGTGGTTGAACAGCGCCCCCTGCTTGTGGTACAAGTGGCCACACTCCTCACAGCGATGTTGGCGCATGTCTGTGTGCAGGCGGCTGTGCTCGCGCAACTGGTGTCTCCGCGTAAAGCCTTTCCCACATGCGGCGCAAGTGAACGGTTTAGCGCCAGAGTGCGAGCGTTGGTGCGAGATGAGCGCCTCGTTAGCGATGAAGCCCCGCCCACACAACTTGCACACAAAGGGGCGCTCGCTGGAGTGGTACCGTAGGTGGCGCTTCAGGTCGGCAGGCCACGGGAACGTCTTAGCGCACAGCGGGCAGGCATGCGGCCGCTCCCCCGTGTGAACACGCGAGTGGCGGTACAGAGAGGCAGCCTGGGAGAAAAGCTTTCCACAGACTGAGCAGATGTGAGCCGAATCTGACAAAGACACACAAGAGTAGAGATGATGTTAAGAGACCAGAGAGACACGTAACACACATGTCTGTCACACACACGTCTGTCACACATTATTTAAAGTACATTACCTTTGCTCTTCTTTTGACTCGTTTTCGGTGCGTCTGGTGGCTCCACCCTCTCACTTCCTCCATCCTTCTGTACCAACTCCTCCTCCTTTTGTTTGAACTCCTCCTCTTTTTGTATCTCCTCCCCCTTCTGTTCCAACTCATCTGCTCCCCCAGGTCCCTCCACCTCATCAGGCCCCTCCTCCCTCACATCAAAGCACTTGTGGCTCAGCAGATGTGAGTTCTGGACAAACGTACGTGCGCACACTGCGCACGTGAGGCTCCGCTCTGAGTGGGCCGAGTTTACGTGCATGAGTAGGTAACCGCGGTGTGTGTAGCTCCGCCCACAGACCTCACAGTTGAAGAGGCCCCCAGAGCCTGGAAACACAAGAGACCATTAGCTAAAGGGGCTAAATCTACAGAGACTGCAGCTAAAGGGGCTAATACTCCAGAGACAGGTATGAGTGGGCAGCATCAGGTGACAGGTGAGATCTTACCTCCACACTTGGGCTGGTGCTTCTTCAGGGTCTCCTTGCGACAGAAAGTTAGTCCACATTCTTCACATTTAAACGGTTTCTGTCCTGTGTGACGAGACATGTGAGCGACCAGGTCACGCTTCTTTCTGTATGAGCGCTCGCACTGACTGCAACTGTGGACAGGGAACATGTGACTAATAACGTAGAGTGAAATACTAGTTTCTTTATCTGATTAATCAAAGTAATAATCTGTACATTCATCAATAAGAAAATAATTGCAAGCTGAAGTCCTTGCTGTATCTGAATCTGTTGAGGTCAGGCCTGTACCTGTACTCCACCCGTGCTTTGGGTTGTGGCATCTCAGTGGGCGGGGCTTCAGGCTGTGGTATCTCAGTGGGCGGGGCTTCAGGCTGCAGCGTTTCAGTGGGCCTGGCTTCAGGCTGTGACATCTCAGTGGGCAGGGCTTCAGGACTCACTGTGGGGAAACTCCATGCAATTAGTGTCACTCCCGTATTCGTCCCGGAAACCGGATTCGTCCGGAAGTTCAGTTTGCGCATGTCAAAAAGTTTAATATGTCCTTAAATGGTGACTGGTTAAGTTTAGGCGTCTGATTAAGATGGTTAAGTTTAGGGTTAAGGCTGGGTTGGGATTATTTTATGGGAATGGCTGGTTAAGTTTAGGCACGAATAGGTAGTTTTTTATATTTACTTCCGCTTCCGTCCAGATTCCATGACGTAATCTACTGCTGCGTATGCTTATTGGATCAAACTGAACTTCCGGACGAATCCGGTTTTCGGGACGAATACGGGAGTGACAATTAGCATGAGTTGGCCAAGGGCACAGGAAGTCTTTCCAGTTTGACAAGTGAAATGAAATGAAAAATCCTGAAATATATATGTTTTAAATGTTTCTTAAAATCCACAATTCTAATCTAATCTACATTCTCCCCCAAATCAATATTTTTCATAACTTTGATATTCAGTTTTATTGCTTGCCAACGTCATTCAGCTTTATTAGTCTACAAAACCTGGCTCTACTTGCCCAAAGTCTCTCACTGACCGGATGTTTATTGTCATCACATCTTGGTTTTTTTTTTTTTTTTTTTTTTTTTTTTTAAATCACAACTTGGATCACAATAAATAAACTCAAGGGAACTAAAAGTGAGATCTCCCAACTCTGCCCACATCTCCTCTGACAAAGTTATGGCTCATGCATTTGTCACTTCATATCTGGGCTATTGTAACGCTTTTCTAACTGGTTTACACCAAAAAACACATACAACGTCTCAAACATGATCATCACCTGGACTAAACCAAGAGATCACATTACTCCGGTTCTCATCCAACTACACTGGCTCCAGTTTATACTTCTCCTTCTCACAATCAAAGCTCTCCATCACCTGGTCCGTCATACCAGAGACCAGCTTCACCCACACATGTGTCCTGTTCTCTCAGTTCCTCATCTGCTGCTCTCCTCTCGCCTCTAAATAAAATGTATTATTATTTAAAATCATTTGTTTTATAATTTATTTAAAACATGTGTTCCCACTGATAATTAATTAATTCTTTGTTTATTCATTTATTATTGTCACAATTTCTTATTTAACAATCAATTAAATATCTTTCATTGCGCATTTAATTGTTTGACTGACCACTTATTTCCAGTTATTTTTAGGCAATATGCACAGTGTCATGGGGGACACAGCTCCCATGGTGGTCAGGAGGGCCAGCTTTGTTCTGGGCTGTGGGACAGGAGGGTGCTAGTCAAAGTCACCTCCATCATGAACAACACCCCCCACCCACTGCACAGGACTGTAGAGGAGCTAGGAGCTCCTTCAGTGGAAGACTGAGGCACCCTCAGTGTAAGAAGGAGCGCTACCGCAGGGCCTTTACCTCCACCGCTGTCAGACTGTACAATAAGTCACTTTAAGTCAATTATAACCTGGACTAGGACTGAAAAAAACTGCACTGCTATTGCCTTTTTATTGTACATAATACATCCTGCATATACTAAATTTTGAATGCACACTTCTGTCCTTTGCACAATCTGAGTGATTCTATCTATGCCAAATGTGACACGTACATTTCTCCATTGTGTGATCAATAAAGTTTATCTTATCAGAGGGCACATGGTGTGGTCAAAGGACACCAACATTGAACTTTATGGCTCAAATAAAAAACTCAATGTACAGCTGCTCCGGGGATGGTCTGCTGTCCCTCATCAGACCATCCCCTGTGTAAGATATGGGGGTGGCAGTATCATACTGAGGGCTGCTGTGCTTCAGTAGGGACAGGTAAGAGCGAAACAAGTTATAACACAATAAAACAGACCATAATAACAGGACCAAACCTTGGACTGTCGTCTTACCATCTGGACGAGATGTTAAATGTTTTAATATTAAGAGATTCCATTACATGTATGATCCTTGTTCAGTTTAAAATTAAACCAGGACCAGCATTACATCAGCTCTAAACCAGGACCAAACCACGTCTAATCTCGAGTACTGACCTGACTTCAACACGAGCAGGACCGGGGCCTCGATTGTGAGTCACCGTGTCCCACTTCGGGACAGTTTTCACCTCATAAATCTATTAAAACCGTCGCAAACACTTCATTCATCTCTTGCAGCCGCCATTTTAGTCAAACCTCCCGCTATCGACTCAACTTCCAGTCTTGAAGACAAGCCAAAATAAAGCTACAATAATTCTGTTCAGTGATGTCTGCTCTGTCCCGATTGTCTCTGTTTGGTCTAGATTTAGCGTGTCTTTCTTCCTCGCTTCCATTCCCTTTCCGTGTTCCCGGTACTGTCCCGGGTCAGTCCGTGCCAGTCTCACACCGTAGTCCTTCAGAGTCCCCACAGCCACAGAGTGGAGGAAACGCGGTGTTTGGTTGATGCCAACTTTACAATATGTTGTCTCCGTTTTGTTGATTAAATCCCAGGTTGTCTGCTCGTTTTCCTTCCTCTGCTCATTGGTCTGTCTGTGACAACAGTACAGTATAACTGTGCAGTGTTAGGGTAGAAGCCGCTCATGTGTGTTTACAGTGATGTATCTGTACGGTTCGGCAGAGCGGGGGAAGATGAGCTAGCTCCCGATGCTAGCTCCAGATAGCTCCGAGCTAACGACGCTAGTGATGATAACGGGTTTATCGGGGTCAGCGGGTCTCGGACCGGGGCTCCGGACCCGGGGGGTGCGGCTGTGATATAGCCGCTGTCGAAACTGATTTTGGGGTAACATGTTTTGAACTCTGGATTTACAAATGGAGCCGAGTGAGGAGCTGACTGACGGAAATGAGTCCTCAGGTTCGGTATTTACATTTAATAATATTATTATTGTAGTATTTTTTATTGGTAATAGTAGTAGTATCATTACGACTATTACGCTGCTATATAGAGCAGTTTATATTGAGCAGTTTATATTGAGCAGTTTATATTGAGCAGTTTATATAGAGCAGTTTATATTGAGCAGTTTGCGGACCCTTTTCATCTTGAAAACCCCTTTACTAAAGTTAGTGGTCATAATAATAATAACTTATTATTATTATTATTACTGTGTTATTAATCAACAATACATGTTATCTAATGTAGAAATACTGTTTTTGTCTGGATAGTTATAATAGGAGATTTCACAGTCACAAAAACTTGGGAACATATCCCATAAATATGATAGAAGTTATATATTATATATGTTTAAGGTAAATGGTGGAATCAAAGGTGGACCAAGTAAAATATTTGAGAAATCTCAGCCATAATCAAGATATGTGTTTTTTACAGTTCATTATAATTGGTTAGATAATTTGGATATTGAATAGAACTTTCTAATTATTTAAATATTTTTTGACTAATATTTAGTCAACATATATTGTATTGTAAAAAAGGTACAGATGACATGGAATGATACAGTTCCAGCTCTGACCATAACGCTAACATTCAAAAATCTATGTTAAGTGTTGAATGTATACTACATTTCATATGAACATATGGAAATGTGGTCACGATATAGATACATATTATTTGTATTGCACATAAAAATATTTACACCTGTAACAGTATAACACTATTCTGTCTTCAGATGTGGATACTCTCCCACAATCACCAACTCTCCAGCCCATCTCAGACGAAGATGAGGACCCCGGGACTTGGTCTGGGGGTCCTGGTCTGAGCTCGGCCCAGCCCTGGCCAGGGGGTCCTGTTCTGAACCCTGTCCAGCCCTGTTCTGGGGGTCCAGGCCTTAGCCCGGTCCGGACCTGGTCTAGGGGCAGACCCAGAGGCCGGTCCAGGGCCTGTCCCGGCTCAGAGCTCTTCTTCTGTGGATTCTGCAGTCGTGCCTTTAAGTTTCGCTCGGCTCTGGAGATCCACGTGCGCTCTCACACTGGCGAGCGGCCCTTCACGTGCACGGTGTGTGGGCGGGGCTTCAGTCTCAAAGGAAACATGAAAACACACCTGAAGACCCACGTGAAGACCCACCGCAGCCGGAACCGCTCTGACCCAGGACTGATGCCCACCGAGTCCTCTCAGCACGAGCTACACCGCTTCATCATGGACCTGAACCGGTCAGGACCGTCCATGGGCCCCATCCCAGGGGACCGGTCCTGGCCCTCCATAGGCCCCATCCCAGGAGACCGGTCCGGGCCCTCCATGGGCCCCATACCAAGGGAGACCAGAGAGCAGTCCAGGTGGGACCAACACTGCTGCCAAACACGAACATTATACATGCACGCTGCCAAACCATGATGTGAGATTAATATTATGAATCTGTTTCAGGTTGACGCCTGAGCCTCAGCCACAACCTGAGCCCGGAGCAGCCGCAGCACACTCGGAGCCGCTGCGCTGTCCAGTGTGCAGTAAGAGCTTCAGCTGGAGGTCCACTCTGTCCGTGCACATGCGCGTGCACACTGGGGAGCGGCCTTACACCTGCGTCTTCTGTAACCGCAGCTTCTCTGTGAAGGGAAACCTCAAAGACCACATGAAGCGCCACCTTCAGGACAAACAGTACATCTGCCCCATTTGTGGCCTGCGCTTCCACCATGAGAGGATACTGCTGAGTCACGTGTCCATGCACACGCCTCCTACGCCTCACCAAGTACACCAGAGGTCTGTGCACCAGGACCAGAGGTCTGTGCACCAGGACCAGAGCTCTGTGCACCAGGACCAGAGCTCTGTGCACCAGGACCAGAGGTCTGTGCACCAGGGCCAGAGCTCTGTGCACCAGGACCATAGGTCTGTGCACCAGGACCAGAGGTCTGTGCACCAGGACCAGAGGTCTGTGCACCAGGACCAGAGGTCTGTGCACCAGGACCAGAGGTCTGTGCACCAGGACCAGAGGTCTGTGCACCAGGACCACAGCTCTGTGCACCAGGACCTCCTCTGTCCATTCTGTGGACTGGTGTTTCACCACGAGAACCTTCTAATCAGTCATGTGACTCTGCACACAACAGGGGTCAGGAGGGAGGTCGGGGAAGATACAGAAGAGGAGGAGGCGGAAGAGGAGGAGGCAGAGGCCCATGGCAACGTCACTTCCTCTCAGGACAAAGAGCAGCTCTGTCCTCTCTGTGGACTGAAGTTTCCTCATGTGAAGCTTCTGCTGAGACACCTGAGTGTGCACGCAATGGGGGAGGAGGGGAGCGTCAATGAGGGGGGGGGCAGGGCTGAGGAGGAGGGGGGGGAGGAGGTGTTCTTTGCTATAACCATTCAGTGACAAAACGTATGGGACAATGAGTATGCACATTTTTTTGCATGTGTCTATGGTCTGAGGTCCGGAGCCTGTATTCATAATGTCACGTGTCTTCATCATGTCTCACAGGTTTTTGCTTTAAGTGTTGTATGGATTGACTCCAACTGCACATCTGTCCTGCTCTTCCAAACCTCTGCGTCCAGTGTCCGCTCAGTAATAAAGTGACCTGTGACTGTGGACCCACCCCCCCCCCCCACATCAGGGAGGTGAAGATAAAGACCAGTCCGTCCATATCACACTCAATAAAACAGTTTTTTTATTCAAGAAAAAAAAGTTTCAATGTGCGTGTGAGTGTGTCCATTGGTTTGTGTGTGTTTGTGTGTCTGGCTATTTATGTGCGTGTGTCTGTATGTGTCTGTGACTGTGTGTTTGGTTGGGACAGTGCCTTCAATAACAGTAAATACAGCAGTGTGAACACTACAACCAAACACAGGTGTTCATCAGACACAATACAACTTTTCTTAGATGCTGCTCACATGTGGCTCAGGGGAAGGCTCTAAAACTACGTGTACGTCACACCATACTGTGCAAAATGACAACCTTTCTTTCCTTTTTAAAGTTTTTCTTGTGGAAAAAAAATGTGTACTGCTCCAGGAGAATGAGAAACAAGTCCATTATAATGTGGTTTCTCTCACTGGTCTCTTCCTTGTCTCTCTTTCTGGTCTCTCTCTTGTCTATGGTCTCTCTCTCTGATTTCTCTCTCTGTGGTCTCTCTCCAGTCCCTCTCTGATCACCCGGCCACTCTCTGCAATTGTTCTCTGGTCTCCCTTTCTGATCTTTTTCTGGTCTCCCTCTGGACCTAGACTGGCACTGTGACTTTGGAAGTGGCCAAGACTTTTCACACACATGACCCAGGTCGGCAGGGGTCACTAAATGTGAGTCTGCAGTGTAACTCCTGGCATTTGCTGACTCGTCGGCAGCATCGGGTTAGAAAACTTCATTTGAGACTTTCCCCTGAAAAAAAGCTGACTCAGGTCAACCAAGATGCGCCCTTTTCCCACTGTAATCTGCAGACTGCAGCACGCCCGAGCTACTACTGACACTACGTTAGTTTCCATTTTGGCCACACGTTGGTACTGCTGTACCTTGTACATGTTAGAGCGGTAAAGGAAACCAGAGCAGACACAAAGAGAGCAGGCAAACATCGACCCCAGGACCTTGCTGTGTGTCTGCAGCAACACTGTGATGACTAGGTTAAATCTTATTGGTGAAGAGATAACATCTCATGATTACAAACAAGAGGAACACGATATCCTGACCGGTGTCAGGACAGGGTCAGGACCCAGGCCTAACTAAATTAAACCAGGCCAGTGCAGCCCGGGTGTCTCTGTAGTTCTGATATGCTGTTTGTGAGGGCCTAACTGCACATGTGGGTCCTGGTCTAGTCCTAGTCCTGGTCTGGTCCTGGGCCTGATCCTGTGATTGGCTACTGCATAGACCTCAGTGAAGGTTTAAATCCTATTTGAGTCCTGGATTAGGAGATTACCTGGAGACAGTGAAGGATTAGAAGCAACCACATGAGGGAAGGAACTTGCTCCGAGCAAGACACCAGACCAACCCTCAAGACCAGCACCTGAGACAGAGACACAAGACTACGATTACACCAACAGTACCAGCAAGAGCTAGAGGCGACCTGAGGATTATTGGGGTCTTGAATCAAACCTTTGGATGCAGCATCAGCATCCAGGGACTTCAGGAGAAACATCTGTAGAACGTGATTGTTGTCTGAGACTGATGCTTTGGCCCTGGAGAGATTAGAATGCAGTAAAGGAGCACAAGGACTGGTTTTCTCAATCAACTTTGACCCAAATCCGGTTGGAGTTCCAGTCCAGTCTGAAGTCCTGGAATTATCTTATGGACGTAATGAAATATTGTAGACTTTTGCATTTATTGGTGGTTATGGCTCGGTTCTGATCAGGTTCTGGCCCTTTTCTGAACAGGTTCTGGTCTGGTTTTGATGTCTGGAGTCAGAGCTCACGGTCAGTATGACACATCTGCTCCCAATGTAATATTCAAAACTGTAGAGTTTCAAACACATGTCGTCTGAACTGGGAATCCACCATTTTGGTATCAACATTCCACCACCATAATGCTCTCTGGACACTCTATCAAGTCTCTCTTGCCTCTCTCTGGTCCCTCTTTCTGGTCCCTCTTGTCTCTTTCACAGGTCTCAGTCTCTTTTCTCTCTGATCACTATTGTCTCTCTCTGGTCATTCGGCTCTCTCTGGACTTTTTGTAGTCTCTTTCTGCACTCTCTCTCTAGATTCTTTGTGGTCTTTCTCCAGTCTCTGATGTCCAGTTTCATGAGGTCTGGTCTCTGAGATCCGGTGGTCTACCATTTTGGTCTCAACACTCTGAGGCAAGTTGACATTGCAAATTTCGTCTCAGGTTTACCACCAGATAAATATCTTATTAAATTTTTTTTACTGAATGTTCACACACAAGTAACAGATAAGTGTGAAGTAGAAGCAAAATGATACATGATTCTGTTCATATAGCAAGAGTTAATACGTTGTGGAACCCTCTCTTGCTGCATTAACAGCAGCATGTTTTTTGGGGTACTCAGAAAGTGTTTACAAAACAACTCCAGCTCTGTCAAATTAGATGGAGACCGTTTATGAACAGCCATTTCCACGTCTTTCCACAGATTTTTAAGTTGTTCCACAGATGTTCTATTGGATTCAGAGCCATTCGAACATATGAATTTGTTTTTTTATTGCTTTAGCTTTGTCTGTAGTTGGATTGTCCTGCTGAAATGTGAATCTTTGCCCCAGCCTCAATTCTCTTGCTGACTCAAGCAAGTTTTCCTCCAAAATGTCCCCATATTTGGCTCCTTCCATCTTCCCAGCTATTCTTGCAATCTTCCCTGTCCCAACTAAAAAAAAGCAGCCAAAACGCATGATGCTCCTGCCACCATATTTGACACTGGATAGTGCAGTGAGCAATGGAAGGCTTTTGTCAACCATATGACTTCTGACAAACTTCAAATGAGATTTCTTGTGGCCTCCTTTTAATAATGGCATTCGTCTTGCCACTGTCCAAAACAGGCCAGATTTGTGTGGACTGATTATTGTCCCTTGTGCACATGCCCTCAGCTAAGCAGCAGTACTTCACAGCTCTTCCAGAGTTATCTTGGGACACTTGGTTACCTTTCTGACCAGTGCTCTCGTTGTTACTTGTCTGTTAGTTTAGTTAGTTCTTTTGTTAGTTTAGGTTGACAGCCGTGTCTTGGTAAGTTTGCAGTGGTTCCATACTCTTTCCAGTTCCTAATAACAGATCAAACTCTCTGTGATGTTCAAATCTTGGGAAATCTTGGTATAACTTATTTCTGCTTTCAACTTCTCCACCACTCTCTGCCCAGGTCTCAGGTCAGCTAAGGTCTAAGGTCTTAGACCCCATATTAAAACAGTCTGTTATTTTATGCATCAGAAGTGAAAGAACCGTCAGCTCTCCTCAGGGGCCATGCAGAGTCAGTGGTGGGATCCTGGAGTCTGGTCTGGTCCAGAACCAAGTCCTGGTCCATGTCTGGTTCCTAGTCCAGTCCCAGACCAGATCCCGGCCTCGTGGCTCCGCTCCAGAGACGGACATAAACTCATCGGCCGAATAGTCCTCAACAAGGGTGTGAAAGATGGAAGTGTGAGTCGCGATGCAGGGGCACTGCTCGGGCTGAAGGTAACAACCTGAGGGAATGAGACCTGAGGGACTGAGACTTGAAGGACCTAAGGGGCTGAGACCTTGTGTGTGTGTGTGTGTATGTTGCAGGTTGTCGGGGGAAAGATGACTGATAACGGCAGGTTGTGTGCGTTCATCACAAAAGTGAAAAAAGGGAGTTTGGCCGACACCGTGGGACACCTGCGGCCAGGTGACAAGCTAACGTCTGCACAGAGCTAACTCTCTCTGGTCTCACTCTCTGGTCTTACTCTCTCTGCCTCTCTCTCTCGCCTGCGGCCAGGTGACGAGCTAACATCTGCACAGAGCTGACTCTCTTTGCTCTCTCTCTGGTCTCTCTCTATGGTATGTCTCTGGTATTTCTCTGGTCTCTCTCTCTGGTGCATGTCTTTTGCTGATCTCTCTCTCTCTCTGGTTAACTCCTGGACCTTTTGTGTACAGGAGACCAGGTTCTTCAGTGGAATGGTTGTCTTCTTCAGGGTTCTACGTTCAACCAGGTCTATGACATCATCCAGGACTCTCAGCACCAGCAGCAGGTCCAGCTGTTGGTGCAGCGTGACCTGGGACCAGAGGAGGGCGCTGCTGTGGAGCTGGGGTGAGTGCATTGCCTGTATTGCCATCCAGTCACGTGATCGTGCATGAGCTTATGGCGGAAGTAGTGGAAGCTAGTATTGCGGCAAGAGCAAAACGGCCTACAACTCTTGAAAAGTGAGACTCCTCTCCTAAACTGAGAAGTGGCTGCTTCAAGCACATGTCCGATAACATTATCGGTGGAAGTAGGACATCTTGTCAGGGCTCACAAAGAGCGTTATTTGGAGAAGTTAAGGATCGCCGAACTGGATGTTGACCCAGACCTTCTCCCCACAGTCAATTTTATCAATTAAATTAAATGTCCAACTTTGCCCGAATTCACCCCGGCATTGTTATCGATTGTTATCATGATGTCGTTAACAATGCATCCAATTACACTGGAGCAGATTTAAATGTAAATTTTGCTGGTAGCATTAGCGCATTATAGTCCACTTTTCTGTGTACAGCCAAACATGATACATATTGACGGAAAGGAAAATAGTGAAAAACGCAGATAATGTTGAAGATAAGATACAAGATCCTTTATCCGTGCCACAGTAAGAGCACACGTTTGACTTTAAGCATTTGTTGTGTAATTGTCCTCCAAATACATTAATGGAAAGAAAATTAATACAAAATTGTAATTGATTTATCTTGTAAAAAGTGTCCACTGCAAATTCAGGAGAACTTGGATGGCTCCCAGTCCTTTTGGTTGATTGCCGCTGGCCATCGTTGTCTTCTGTCTTCTGTCTTCATCACGAGCAGGTATCAGATAATAAGACGTTTGGCTTATGTCCTTGCCTGTTAGTATAACCAACCACACTGCGCAATATCACAGTTTGGGCTGTTATTCGGTGAAACGGGTTGTTTTGGTCAAGTTTCCAAATGCTCGCAGTTAGACTGCCGTGGCCGGGACGTCACATGCAAGGGGTCAATATGTGGAGTGGACTGACAAGTGACATCACCAAAGCGTAAGCCTTAATGCAAAAAAAAAAAAAACTTGAACATTAGCTTCCTAGAGCCAATTTCCTTATATGGGCCTTTGTTGCGACGACGTAAACTTCCCCTGATCTCATAGAATATAGATACCGGTTACAGATTCAATTCAGAAGGTTTAAGGAAACTGAATTTTTTACTAGTTATTAAAACATATTTCTATAGCCTAAGCTATTGTAGAATCATAACACAATGACGAATCCATTTACCAAATGTCCGATATAAATGTAGCTTTCAACTTATTTCTGGGAATGTTTGCTACAATGTACGACAAATACCTTCCAATCCAAGGTTGCAAGTAACTAAAGTAACAGTTTTAGTTGCAAGCAACACCTGCAACTAAAACTCCCTGGATAAAAAGGGCTTGTGAACTCTTGTAAAAAGAAAAATTATCTGTACTGACATTTCTTTAGGAATAGAACTATAGAGACTGAACTAAGGTATAAACAATACAGGGCATACATCAGAGAAGTGTCTCATTTAACAGAAGATTCTAACAGTCAGATTTTAACAAAATGATGCTGGTCACATGATCAGGGGACAGGGCTAAAGTCACAGGGTATTAAAAACTGGAGAAAATATTGAAACTCCATCCATCCATCCATCCATCTTCCCCTTAATCCGTTTCTGGGTCGGTAATCAGAGCTGCACCCAGTTCACATAGCACCAGCCCCTCACTGATCCTCCTGCAGGTGGTGAGTCCACAGGAGCCTTAAAGCTGCACTAACTCACTTTGTGAAATTTTCAAATGTGAGCGCTGGCCTCGCTCTTTCTTCTCCCCCTTCCCGCACTCACGGAGCTTTCGCCCCTCCCTACCCCCCTCCCCCTCAGCCTGTGCTCACATGCTAATTGTTTACGGAGCTCACTTCTCACAATATGGATCGCACATTTGAACGTAGATGGCGTGACCATAGAAGGATAGAACCGGGAAGCGCGGAGGAACGAGACTTTCTTTTGGATGGCTGTTTCGCTGTGTAAGCAGTAACCGGTAACGAAGACACAGGAAGTTTCAGGTTAGCCTCCGCCGCTTGTTTACCCCAGCTGTCTGTGCTAACAAGAGACCTGTAGATTTTCTCAAGACAGTGGGGGCCAGTGGTCTGCTGTGATTGGTCACAATCTGGTCCCGAAACAAATTCTCTTCCTTGTTGCACAAAAACTCGATCTAAAATAAAATTGTTTTTTTGTCCTTAAAGCTTGCTTGTGTTCAGCCAGTCTATTTTTCAGTTTCCTTTTTGTACGGCCTACATAGAAACGGCCACAAGGACACTCAAGTCTACAACAAATGTAGTATTACAATTGATTTGTGTTTTGATGGCGAAAGTTTGTCCTGATGAAACTTCCACAAATTGATTAGTCCGCTGAATTTGGTCGCAGTATGTACAGTTCCCACATCTGCAACAGCCACTTTGAATGTTCAGCCATGTATTTGATTTCAGGAGTTGGAGATAGCTGTTCATCAGTTTGCTCCAAGTGTTGGGGCTTTTCTAAAACTAACTGTTGGTGACTCTGGGAGGAGCTCTCTGAATGTACTGTCGCTTTTTAAAATGCTCTAATTACTGTTGATTGTTTTATTTTTATGGCTTCTGTGCCAAATGCAGTCACAAAGTAGACCTGGTTAGAAGATTCATTTGACCTTGTTTTGTGTTTTCGCACTTGTTCTCAATTCTGATGCTTTGCTCTGTTGTAGGCTGAATCTATGGTGCTGGAGGTGTACCCTCTGTTCTTATATCTATTTTCCATTGCTTCAGCATTTTCCTTAAAGCATGAGTCTGTGTCACAGATTCTCCATAGTCTTTGAAAATGACCAACCGGTATATTTTGCTGAAGCCATGGAGGATTGAAACTAACTGCTTTGAGTATTGTATTCCTATCTGAAGGTTATTGTATTGAAGTTTGGGGAAACTGTTACAAATCTCACTTACAGTCTTTTGTCACTTTGCAAAAGAAGGCTATTAGGATTTTATCAAATGTTCAGTATAAACATAATTTTTACACTTGGGACAACTTAAACTTCAAGACTTGATTCAATTTAAAACTACTCAAATAAGGAATAGGGCATCGCAGAACTCTCTCCCACCGAGTTTGCAAACACTTTTCCACAATAGAGACGCTTACCATCAGTATCGACTAAGAGGAAACAAACAAATATACTTACCTAATTTTACTTCAAAATCAACGTGTATCTCAGTGTTTCTCTGTGAATCTGGTTGAATTAAATTATGTATTGTTCAAACCTGATACAATTTAAAATAAGTATTTTTTATATGTATACAAAAGAAATATTAAATCAAAATCAATGCATTATAAATATGTGTGTGGGTTTTGAAATGAATATTTAATTTATTCATTCATTTATAAACTAAAATGGGTTGAATAATGTACAAAATTATGCTCTTGGATCAGTTTAGGACAACACTTTTGGCAGAGCACAAAGCTGTAAGACATTTATGTACACCGATGGTGAGCAAATAAACTAGGGCTTTTGGTGACGCCGCACTCACTGTAGCTGTAACTGTTTTTTCAAATGAAGACCCCAAAGCAGAGTTGAGACAGGCTGACAAAGAATAAAAATTAATTTACAGTCCAAAACTAAAAAAGTAGATTTATAAAACTGCAGCCAGGCTGAGGTGACAGAGGCTGGCTGGATACGTGGAGGTGCAGCAAACAAGGATCGGGGATAAAATCGTAAGTATAAAAAGAGAAAGAATCACACGAAAAAGAGCACAAGGACACTACCGTATGTGACGGAATTATCTGGCACTAAAGAGCAGTCCAAACTGAGCTTAAGGCGTGTCTGCTGCACCATCCAGCCACACCCCCATTACCACAAGCTCTGCAAAGAAACAAAAAGGGAGAAGGAGAAACAGAATATTAGTGAAGGGTTGATGAAGCTTCATGAAGTGTTGAACCATCCATTGGTTCGGTTCATTTCTTGAAGCTTCATATGCTCACAAACCCCTGCTGGTCATAATCTGTATTGACATTTGAACTGTTTGTGGGCTCTTGGTGCATAGGAATTAATACTGGTAACAGAAATAAATAAATAAAAAGATTGTGTATGACTCATTAATTCATTTGTTTGATTATGATCAATATCAGTAGTAATAACGAATATTTTTTAAATGACGATAAAATTAAAATGTACTGGTAACTGGTACAGTTCCATCCATCCATCCATTTTCTTCCCTTTAATCCATTTCTGGGTCAGGGGGGTGGCAGTCAGAGATGCCACCCAAGTCTCATAGCACCAGCCCCTCACTGACCCTCTGCAGGTGGTGAGTCCACAGGAGGACGGCTGCTCTCTGACTGTGAGCATAGCCTTGATCTTTCAGTGGGAGCTTTTGGGCAAAGTGGGGTTAAGTGTCTTGCCCAAGGACACAACGACAGCAGTCATCAGTGGGAGTCGGTGGAGAAGGTGCAGAGGTGGGAATTGAACCCACGACCTTCTGGGCTTAAGGCCAATGCTCTACCAACTGAGCTACTGTCGCCCTGATACAGATTGTAAATTGTTTAAAACTAATAATTTCTCAGTTTCCGACAAATTTCTACATGTATTAATTAAACCCTCAAAGTTTGAGCGGATCCACTGCAGTACTTCATGAATTGCTCCATTTCCTGTACTCCCGAGGCTTCAAACGTCATAGTGACGCCACTCACTTAAAAAACTCAGGCTTCAGTCCATAGCATGGATCTATATCAGAATCATTTTTATTGCCACGTAAGTAACAGGAAGTTACTTGGAACTTAGGAACTTAGACTTGGAAATTGCTTTGGTGCAACAGTCAGAGAGAGAGGTAAAGAGTAGAGAAGGCATATGAAAACAATCAAAAATAAAAGCACTTCTAAGGAATACATTTAAAATAGATTTACAATTACTATATACAGTACAATATACAAGTGCACATGGTGCACACAATGTAAGGTGACAGCAGAGTAAAGTGACATTATAAAGGGCAGTAAAGTGACATCATAAAGAGCAGTAGGGGACTTTATAAAGAGCAGTAGGGGACTTCTATAGGGCAGGGGGACAGGTCATGAAGAGTACAAGAGTCCAACAGCAGAGGGGAAGAAACTGTTCTTGTGGCGGGAGGTTCTAGTCCTGTTGGACCGCAGCCTCCTGCCTGATGGGAGTGGTTGGAATAGTCCATGTGCAGGGTGAGAGGGGTCAGCAGTGATACGACCAGCCCAGCCTCGAGCTACAGGTCCTGCAGCGATGGGAGGCTGCGGCCGATCACCTTCTCTGCAGAGCTCACGATGTGCTGTAGCCTCTGTTTGTCAACTGACTGTGGCTCCAGCGAACCACACGGTGATGGAGGAGGTGAGGATGGACTCGATGATGGCCGTGTAGAACTGCACCAACATCTGTGCAGGCAGCTAGGCTTTCCTGAGCTGCCGCAGGAAGTACATCCTCTGCTGGGCCTTCTTGATGAGGGAGCTGATGGTCGGCTCCTACTTGAGGTCCTGGGGGATGGTTGTGCCCAGGTAACGAAAGGACTCCACAGAGGTGATGGGGGAGTCCATCAGGGAGGGTGGGGGCGGGGGGACTGTGCTCTTCCTGAAGTCCACAATCATCTCCACTGTCTTCTAGCCGTTCAGCTCCAGGTTGTTACCAGGACACCAGCCGGTCGACCTCCCTCCTGTAGGCGGACTCATCGTTGTTGGAGATGAGTCCAATGAGGGTGGTGTCGTCCGCGAACTTGATCAGCTTCATAGAGTCGTGGCTGGAGGTGCAGCGGTTGGTGTCCAGGGAGAAGAGCAGGGGAGAAAGAACACAGCCCTGTGGGGCTCCTGTATTTATAATCCGAGAGTCCAAGACATTCTTCCCCAGACGTACTCGCTGCTTCCTGTCCGTCAGGAAGTCAGTGATCCACCTGCAGGTGGAATTTGGCACATTAAGCTTGGAGAGCTTGTCCTGGAGCAGGGATGGTAGGATCATGTTTAAGGCAGAGCTGAAGTCCACGAACAGGACCCTGGCGTAGGTCCCCGGGGAGTTCAGGTGCTGTAGGATGTGGTGGAGGGCCACGTTAATGGCGTCGCCTACAGAGCTGTTGGCTCTGTAGGCGAACTGCAGGGGGTCCAGGAAGGGGGAGGTGAGGGACTTGAGATGGGAGGGGACCAGGCGTTCAAATGACTTCATGACTACAGATGTCAGTGCCACAGGTCTGATCCTGGGTTTCTTCGGGACGGGGACAATGATGGAGGATATGAAGCAGGCCGGGACATGGCAGGACTGCAGAGAGGAGTTGAAAATGTCAGTGAACACAGGCGTTAGCTCACTGGCGCAGTGTCTCAGAGTGGCCGGAGACACATGGTCTGGGCCAGGAGCTTTGCGGGGGTGCAGCCTCAAGAAGAGTCGTTTGATGTCTTCTGAAGCGATTGTCAGGGTGGGGGCAGAGCTGATGGGTGGGTTCTCAGCTGACAGAGAACAGCTTTTTTTCATCTTAAATCCTTCGGTTTTCTTTAAATTTACACTTTACTACCACAAACTCTGCTCGTTTCCTTCCCGCTCTGACTCCGCTCTACCGCTGCTCTGATCAGCAGCCCTGATTGGTCAAAATCGGTTCTGCGCAGTGGGAGCTCGTCCACTGCGCAGAAGTGGAAGCCCCTGACGCGGCACGACCCATCACTACAAAATAGCACAACCCCCCAGTAACACTGCATTCATAAACATCTAAAGCCAAGGCAAGTTTGTTTGTATAGAACCATTTAAATGCAAGGCAACTAAAGAAGGTGACTCTGCTTCAATAAACTGTGCCGTTCACATACATTTTATTTATTTATTTGACAGGAATAATGTAGTCATAGATAGTTACAGCAGGGAAGATGCAACTGATGCGAAACATATATCCACATACAATTTCTACTTTCTGTCCCTGTGAGCATTTTCCTACAGACTGCTGGATATACAGTGCCTTGCGAAAGTATTCGGCCCCCTTGAACCTTTCGCCACATTTCAGGCTTCAAACATAAAGATATAAAATTTATATTTGTGGGACACAATCGTGAAGTGGAACAAAATTTATTGGATAATTTAAACTTTTTTAACAAATAAAAAACTGAAAAGTGGAGCGTGCAATATTATTCGGCCCCTTTACTTTCAGTGAACTCCAGAAGTTCAGTGAGGATCTTTGAATGATCCAGTGTTGTCCTAAATGACTGATGATAAATAGAATGCACCTGTGTGTAATCAAGTCTCCGTATAAATGCACCTGCTCTTTGATAGTCTCAGGGTTCTGTTTAAAGCGCAGAGAGAACCATGAAGACAAAGGAAGACACTAGGCAGGTCCGAGATACTGTTGTGGAGAAGTTTAAAGCCGGATTTGGATACAAAAAGATTTCCCAAGCTTTAAACATCTCAAGGAGCACTGTGAGAGCAATTATATTGAAATGGAAAGAGTATCAGACCACTGCAAATCTACCAAGACCCGGCCGTCCCTCCAAACTTTCATTTCAAACAAGGAGAAGACTGATCAGAGATGCAGCCAAGAGGCCCATGATCACTCTGGATGAACTGCAGATAACTACAGCTGAGGTGGGAGAGTCTGTCCATAGGACAACAATCAGTCGTACACTGCACAAATCTGGCCTTTATGGAGTGGCAAGAAGAAAGCCATTTCTCAAAGATATCCATAAAAAGTCTCGTTTAAAGTTGCCACAAGCCACCTGGGAGACACACCAAACATGTGGAAGAAGGTGCTCTGGTCAGATGAAACCAAAATCAAACTTTTTGGCCACAATGCAAAACGATATGTTTGGCGTAAAAGCAACACAGCTCATCACCCTGAACACACCATCCCCACTGTCAAACATGGTGGTGGCAGCATCATGGTTTGGGCCTGCTTTTCTTCAGCAGGGACAGGGAAGATGGCTAAAATTTATGGGAAGATGGATGGAGCCAAATACAGGACCATTCTGGAAGAAAACCTGTTGGAGTCTGCAAAAGACCTTAGACTGGGACGGAGATTAATCTTCCAACAGGACAATGATCCAAAACATAAAGCCAAATCTACAATGGAATGGTTCACAAAGAGACGTATCCAGGTGTTAGAATGGCCAAGTCAAAGTCCAGACCTGAATCCAATCGAGAATCTGTGGAAAGAGCTGAAGACTGTTCACAAACGCTCTCCATCCAACCTCACTGAGCTCGAGCTGTTTTGCAAGGAAGAATGGGCAAGAATTCCAGTCGCTCGATGTGCAAAACTGAGAGAGACATACCCCAAGCGACTTGCAGCTGTAATTGCAGCAAAAGGTGGCGCTACAAAGTATTAGCGCAAGGGGGCCAAATAATATTGCACGCCCCACTTTTCAGTTTTTTATTTGTTAAAAAACTTTAAATTATCCAATAAATTTCGTTCCACTTCACGATTGTGTCCCACTTGTTGTTGATTCTTGACAAAAAATTTAATTTTTAAAGGTTCAAGGGGGCCGAATACTTTCACTGTATATATAGGAGCCACAGCACAATTTTACTACAGTCCATGGCTTTAAAGTCAAAATATTAATAGTTTAATCTTATGGCATTGGCATAAAATAAAATAAAAACAGAAATCGGATGAGCTTTATGCTTCATGGTACGTTACACCCGTTGACGTTAATGTTAGCTAGTTCCCTTCAATATCAAATAAAAAGCTAGTTTTATGACACCACACTTCTGAATCTTTGGGGAATCTAGGAAATGCTGTTGCTTAGCTGTTTTTGTGCATTATAAAAATCCCTTATAAAATACTCAAATTCAAAAGGTAAGAACCTTTTGAAAACACAAGATAGTTAGTATAGCACAACTCTATACTATAATAAAACTTAGTATTAGTACTTTGTCGTCAGGGACCGGAGCAGATCTGTGGAGCCCGACTGCACTGACAGTTCCATGGATGTCCAGAGGGTGTCTCTGTCGTGTCCAGTCAGCCCCACGGTCAGTACTTTATTTATTTCTTTATTTACAATCTCAACATTTACAATCTGCTTCTGTTTGTGTTTCAGGCTCGCAGTGGTCTGGTCCCGAGAATCCAGGTGAAGACTAGACCAGACCAGACCAGACTAGACCAGACTAGATCAAATTGGACCAGACTGGAGTAGCACTGAACTATAACTGAACCAGACTGCTGTGGACTGAACCAGAGTCCTGTGGACCAGACAATGTGAACCCGGTCTGGACTTATGTGGACCCGGTCTGTTTCCAGGTCCGTTTGTGGCTGGACTCCGTCTCTCGGCAGTTTGTGGTCACGGTTCTTGGAGCTAAAGAACTTCCTCATCGAGACGATGACCGGCCAAGAAATCCATATGTGAATCTGTACCTGCTGCCGGACCGGAGGTACGAGACTAAACCAGGTCTGAATCAGGTCCGAACCAGGTCTGAAACAGGTCTGAAAAAGGTCTGAACCAGGTCTGGACCTGGTCTGAACCAGGGCTAGGTCAGGTGTGTATTGTGTAATGTTGTGTACCCTCAGTGACCACAGCCGCCGCAGGACTAAGACCGTACGTAAGACCACAGAGCCGCGTTGGGCCCAGACTTTCATCTTTGGACCAGTTCTGCTCCGAGACCTGACAGACCGTACTTTGGAAGTCACTGTTTGGGACCAGAACCGGGTCCAGGACCAGATCTACGGCCAGGACCAGGCCTACGGCCAGGAAGAGGAGAACCAGCTGCTGGGACAGGTCAGTCCGGCTCAAACAGTATAGAGGGTATACAGGGTATATACAGTATTCAGTTGTTTGCACCGATTTGGATAGTTTAGTGATTACGGGTGATTTTAATATTCATGTGGATAATGGCAATGACAAAAATGCAAAAGAGCTGAGTTCTGTACTTGAAACATTTGGTCTCACTCAGCACGTGAGTGGCCCCACCCACAGCAAAGGGCACACTCTAGACCTGTTGGTTACTAAGGGGGTTAATATTTTAAATGTAAATGTGGTTGACGTGGCTCTGTCAGATCACATCTGTGTATTTTTTGACATGTGTTTTGATAGTAAACATGTCTGTAATCATGTCTGATGAAGGGTAGTGACCCGAAACGTCACATCTTGTGGTGATAACATTAAAAACTCTTGGGAGCTAAAAGCTGTGCAGAGTCATCTCCTTTTTCTTTTGATAGTAAACAACCATATAAATCTGAATCTGCAATTGTCAGACACAGACACATAAATGAAAACACAACCGAACTATTCATGGGAATGATAAACTTTGAGAACACATTGTGTTCTACTGTTGACGAATTGTTTAACTCTGTCACCTCCAATGTTGTGAATGTTCTGGACATCATCGCTCCTGTGAAGATTAAAATGATTACAAATAAGCCAAAGGCCCCCTGGACTAAAATGGACTCAGTCATGGTACAGAAGAGGGCGTGCCGTAGGGCCGAGCGAAAGTGGCGAAAATCCAATCTCCAGGTTGATCATGAGATCTTCAAAAAGGAGTTGTGCAAGTTTACAGGGTGCTACGTACTGTAGAACAAGAGAAATTTATTTTTCTAAAACCATTGATGGCGTGGGGCGACAGTAGCTCAGTTGGTAGAGCATTGGCCATAAGGCCAGAAGGTCGTGGGTTCAATTCCCACCTCCACACCTTCTCCACCGACTCCCACTGATGACTGCTGTCGTTGTGTCCTTGGGCAAGACACTTAACCCCACTTTGCCCAAAGTCCCCACTGAAAGATCAAGGCTATGCTCACACTCAGAGAGCAGCCGTCCTCCTGTGGACTCACCACCTGCAGAGGGTCAGTGAGGGGCTGGTGCTATGAGACTTGGGTGGCATCTCTGACTGCCACCCCCCTGACCCAGAAATGGATTAAAGGGTAGAAAATGGATGGATGGATGGACCATTGATGGCTGCAATAATAATCTACAACTTATGTTTTCAACAGTTAACAGATTAACAAACCCCCCTGTTCAGCTGCCATTAGAATTTGCTTCAGAATCTAAATGTAATGAGTTTGCACAATTTTTCAATGACAAGGTTCAGAGCATCAAAAACGCCATCACCTCCAAGGCAGAAATAACATTACAACAGCCGGTGAGGCTTTTTGAGCTATCGCACTTTGCACCAACAGATAATGAAACTGTCCAAGATGTTGTCTCTAGCCTTAGTTCCTCCACATGTAGCCTGGATGTACTACCCACTACATTTTTTAAGTCTGTTTTGAGCAGTCTTTTACCTTTGCTCACACAAATAGTGAACATGTCTCTCTCATCTGGAACATTTCCAATGGCCCTGAAAACGGCAGTCATCAGACCCCTCCTAAAAAAGAAGAGTATAGATGCCACAGTTCTTAAGAATTACCGCCCCATTTCAAATCCGTTTATGGGAAAAATTCTGGAAAAAGTTGCTTACCAACAACTTACAGCAACAACAACAACTTCTTAGTAACTAATAGTTCCTTTGATGCGCTCCAGTCCGGCTTTAGAGCCAATCACAGCACTGAGAGTGCACTAGTGAAGGTTACAAATGACATCCGACTTTACACCGACACAGGAAAAGTCACAGTTTTAGTAATGCTGGATCTGAGTGCTGCGTTCGACACAGTCGACCATGAGATCCTCATGCAGAGACTAGAGCACTGGGTGGGTGTCACTGGGACTGCCCTAAGTTGGTTTAGGTCTTACCTAGAAGACAGGAAATACTTGGTTCAGATTGGAAGCTGTGTCTCAGATCATATGGCCCTGACCTGCGGAGTGCCACAGGGGTCAATTCTGGGGCCTCTTCTGTTCAATATTTACATGCTGCCATTAGGTCAAGTAATACGCTCCAACAATGTATCCTACCACAATTACGCTGATGACACTCAAATTGATGTCTCACTTACTGCAGGAGAACATGGACCAGTGGACTCACTCCTTCACTGTATTCAACAGATTAGTGATTGGATGCAAAATAACTTCCTTCAGCTGAACGCAGACAAAACAGAATTGATTGTCTTTGGTCCTCAGAAACAAAGAGAGAGCGTTATTCGTCACCTCCAGTCTCTCTCCCTGGAACCAGTAGGCAAGGTCAGAAACCTAGGAGTTATAATGGACTCAGGCTTAAATTTTAACAGTCACATCAAATCAGTTACATCAGCAGCATTTTACCATCTGAAAAACATTGCCAAAATTAGAAACATAGTGTCTAAATCAGATCTGGAGATTCTCATCCATGCATTTGTCTCCAGTAGGTTGGACTACTGCAATGGCCTGCTCACAGGTCTGAAGTATGTCCAAAATGCTGCAGCTCGAGTCCTGACCAGGACCAGGAAATATGACCACATTAGAGCTGTCAACCGATCATCACCTGGTCGTGAGTTGGATCCGCTGGCAGGGGAAGAAGCCGGTCAGACCTGGCAGACCCAAGCGTATAGTGAGGGTCTGCTGGGAACGTCTCGCTGAGCCCCCTGTCAGACGGACTTTCAACTCACACCTCCGGGAGAGCTTCTCCCAGGTCCCGGCGGAGGAGGGGGACATGGAGTCCGAGTGGACCATGTTCTCTGCCTCAATCGCCAATGCGGCGGCTCGTAGCTGTGGTCGCAAGGTCTCTGGTGCTGGTCCCGGCGGCAACCCCCGAACCCGGTGGTGGACACCGGCAGTAAGGGATGCTGTCAGGCTGAAGAAGGAGTCCTATCGAGCCATGATGGTTCGGGGGACTCCTGAGGCAGCTGTCCAGTACCGGCAGGCCAAGCGTGCCGCGGCCCGGGCTGTTGCAGAGGCAAAAACCCGGGACTGGGAGGAGTTCGGAGAGTCCATGGAGCATGACTATCGGTCGGCCTCGAAGAGATTCTGGCAAACCATCCGGCGCCTCAGGAGGGGGAAGTAGTTCTTTGCCAACACCATGTACGGTGCGGGTGGAGAGCTGCTGACCTCGACTGGGGATATTGTCGGGCGGTGGAAGGAATACTTTGAGGTTCTCCTCAATCCCCCCGTCACGTCCTCTGTTACAGAGGCAGAGGCTGAGGATGTTGGGGCGGGTACATCCATCTCCCTGGCTGAGGTCACCAAGGTGGTTGGTAGCCTCCATGGTGGCAAGGCTCCGGGTGTGGATGAGATCCGCCCTGATTATCTAAAGTCTCTGGATGTTGTAGGACTGTCTTGGCTGACACGTCTCTGCAACATCGCGTGGCGATCGGGGGCAGTGCCAATGGAGTGGCAGACCGGGGTGGTGGTCCCTCTCTACAAGAAGGGGGACCGGAGGGTGTGTTCCAATTATCGTGGGATCACACTCCTCAGCCTCCCCGGTAAGGTCTACTCCAAGGTACTGGAGAGGAGGTTACGGCCGATGGTCGAATCTCGGATCCAGGAGGAGCAGTGTGGTTTTCGTCCCGGTCGCGGAACACTGGACCAGCTCTATACTCTCCATCGGATACTCGAGGGTTCATGGGAGTTCGCCCAACCTGTCCACATGTGCTTTGTGGATTTGGAGAAGGCGTTCGACTGTGTTCCCCGGGGTGTCCTTTGGGGGGTTCTCCGGGAGTACGGGGTCGGAAGTCCTCTGCTGAGGGCCATCCGATCCCTGTATGACCGGAACCAGAGCTGTGTTCGCATTGCCGGCAGTAAGTCAGACCTGTTCCCGGTGAATGTTGGCCTCCGACAGGGCTGCCCTTTGTCACCGGTTCTGTTCACTGTATTTATGGACAGAATATCTAGGCGCAGCCAGGGGTCGGAGGGGGTCCGGTTTGGAGACCACAGAGTTTCATCTCTGCTGTTTGCGGACGATGTTGTCCTGTTGGCTCCAACGAACCAGGACCTGCAGCATGCACTGGGACGGTTTGCAGCCGAGTGTGAAGCGGCTGGGATGAGAATCAGCACCTCCAAATCCGAGGCCATGTTGCTCGACCGGAAAAAGGTGACTTGCCCTCTGCAGGTGGGTGGAGAGGTCCTTCCTCAAGTGGAGGAGTTCAAGTATCTCGGGGTCTTGTTCACGAGTGAGGGAAGAATGGAGCGTGAGATTGACAGGCGGATCGGTGCAGCGTGCGCAGTTATGCGGTCGCTGTATCGGACCGTTGTGGTGAAGAGGGAGCTGAGCCGAAAGGCAAAGCTCTCGATTTACCGGTCAATCTTCGTTCCCTCCCTCACCTATGGTCATGAGCTTTGGGTAATGACCGAAAGAACGAGATCGCGGATACAAGCGGTCGAAATGAGCTTCCTCCGCAGAGTGGCTGGGCGCTCCCTTAGAGATAGGGTGAGGAGCTCAGTCACACGGGAGGAGCTCGGAGTAGAACCGCTGCTTCTCCACGTCGAGAGGAACCAGTTGAGGTGGCTCGGGCATCTGTTCCGGATGCTTCCTGGACGCCTCCCTGGGGAGGTGTTCCGGGCACGCCCCACCGGGAGGAGGCCCCGCGGAAGACCCAGGACACGCTGGAGGGACTATGTCTCTCAGCTGGCCTGGGAACGCCTTGGGGTCCCCCCGGACGAGCTGGAGGAAGTGTGTGTGGATAGGGAAGTCTGGGCGTCTCTGCTTAGACTGCTGCCCCCGCGACCCGGCAACGGATAAAGCGGAAGAAAATGGATGGATGGATGGATAGTCCAGTTCTCAGGTCTCTGCACTGGCTTCCTGTGGCTCAGAGAATAGACTTCAAAGCAGCACTGCTTGTGTACAAGTCTCTCCATGGCCTCGCACCAAAGTACTTAAGCGACTTGTTAGTGCCATATGAACCGGCCCGGACTCTGAGGAGCACAGGAGGTAGCCT